AAGCGGTGTTGTTTGCTAAGCGATAATATTGGTTAATTAAAAAGGGGCATTCATTATCCTGCATCGCAGTCCGTCTAGCCGTCTGTCGCGTAATGCATTGTTATGAATGTAGTCGCGTCCTGCGAGATTCCATACGTGGGCCATATGCAGGATAGTGTGTGAGGCTCTCCTGCTTGCGCGGCGGACTGCCATGCTGGTAGTGAATGGGCCGTTTAAATATACTATATTGATCTCTCACACCACGTTTCCTTGAAAAACTCCCGTCGGCCCGGCGGACTGTATAACCGGTTGCGCGATGCTGTATGCGTGTAGCGGTGGTGATGACTCACGCAGCTATATGTCTATTATTGATAATAAGAAACTGCGTGAGCGCGCTGCTATTTATAACGAACCCAACGAAATTGCTAACTACATTAACGAGACATTTAGTCAAGCCTATAAGAAATGTAAACAAATGGCAATACCTACAGAATACTGGGAAGCGTGGATTATGTCAATGGGCTGACCCTAAGCTTAAAAATATGTGCGAGAAGCGTGATGAACGGAATCAAATATGGATTTCAGAACCTTTTAATTATAAAAATAAATTGTTGTACAATAAATATAGGAACGTAACCAATAAATACACTCAATATAGTATAAGAAACAATCATATAAAGCCTGAGATATCTAACAACTTTAGCAATACTAAAAAAATTTGGGAAATTATAAATAATTTATCTGGTAAAATAGTGCAATGTATAGATAAAATAATTTTGAAAGCATTTAAACTTAAGCCTCTTATAGTGGCAAATAATTTTGGAAAGGAAATTAATACAAATACAAAAAATATTTGTAATTCATGTAACACATACCTATTAGACCCTTCAACATGTCGAATTGAGTCTGATAGAACTATAAAAGTAAAGCAAGCGCATGCTCAAGAAATTGAACTGATTATTGAACAACTTAATGACCATAAAACACTGCAATGATTACAATAACTACTGATCTATTACTGTACTCTCGTGCATAGACAAAATTATAGAAAGATACGTAAGTAATCAATTCAATAAATATTTAATGAAAAATGATGTCATTAATACAAAACAATACGGATTTCAGAAAAATAGAAGTACAACACAGCTTCTGCGCACTTTTTCGAACCAAGTAAATGGTTCATTAGGTACAAAAATGCATGTACTTGTAACATTGATTGATTTTAGTAAGGCATTCGAAGTGTTGAAATATGAAATCCTATATGACCGGCTTTCGCGAGCTTGATATACAGGGCCCCTTATTAGAATTATTTAAAAATTATAATCCCAGCTGATACAACTGTAAAAATAGAAAATGAATTTAATAACTCAATACAAACAGAACAAGTCACAGCACAAGTCTCGATTTTTGGGCCTACAGAATATTTACATTACGTGAATGATAATTCGCACTGTTAATACAATAGTGTAATAACTCAAAAAGTGTATTTTCTCAGAATAGCAAAAAAACGAATTAGTCGCTTCCCTTGAAAGATCTGTGTAAATTTATGTATAGGTTATTTCCTACTTGCCAAATATACATATAATATTTAAAAATAAAAGAGAATAAATAATGTCATATTTTTGAATAAGGACTATTTTGACCAGAACTAGTCCACATAAAGTGTGTCGCATTTTGAGTTAAGTAGTTATGTAGATATTTTTTAGTTGTTTTTTACAATATTCTAATGATGGTTTTATTGACGTGCAGATAATCAAATTTCACGTTCAACAATGGTATAACCTTGAATTTCACATTTTTTTAGTTATAACACTATTGTAACAGCAGTGCGATATTGCATTGCGATATTGCATTCGATATATGTCGAATGTCATTAAAAGAGGTTCTGTGTATCAATCAGTTCGCTGATGATGCTTGCCTTTTAGTGGTCAATAAGGATTTAAATGTAGCCCAGACTGATATGCAATATGATTTTAATCAATTATGTAAATGGGCCCATGATGTGGGATTAGTGATAAATGATCATTTCAAATCATTTCTCACAGTCATCAGTGTTTGCATGTTTCGGTGAATGTTTGCTCATATCAATCTTTAGAAGTTGTAGATAGTCATTTGTATATAGGCTTCTAATCGATAACAGATTTAGCTGGGGACCACATGAAGATAATATATGTGCAAAATTGAGAACTATTCTAGGAAAATTTTCAATACTTAAATATAAGGTACCTTACAAAACTCTAATGTACATAGCCCTAGCCGATTCTGTGATTGGGTACGGTATAAGTAGTTATGGTTTAACATATAATGCCGTATCTTAAAGAAATCTATAATTTGCAAATAAAAATCTTAAAAACTATTGTTCCAAATCATATTAAAAATAAATATAAAGATAATAATGTTAGGTTACTTAGCTATTGTCAAGTAATGAGTGTTTTTGATAAAGTTAACTTTTCAATTTTGACTGAATTTAATTATGTACATAAATTATGTGAATAATAACAATAATAACGCACACGCTTAACATAGCACCGCACTAGGGAAACCTGTATCGCGGGTGCCATGGAATACATATAGACAACCACAAATTACACCCAAATTCAGGAGAGAAATAAATGTAGGTCATACAAATATTTCTCCTGGCCCGGGAATCGAACCTGGGACCTCTGCGTGGCAGTCCGGTATGGGCTACGGAGGCAGTTACCAGACTACTAGAGACCAAAAAATTGAAGAATCATAGGAACCAAAAAATATCTACTCCCTAAAACAAATAATGTATATGGACTCGAAAATGAGACGATTAATTACTAAATTAATTGCCTGCGTGCATTCAAGACCTATATGTAGAGGGAAAATGTAAAAATAAACTAAGGAAATATTTTAATTTTACAGCGAAACGCCGGATAAACCCTTTTGAGCTACAGCTGAATGTATGTAATTGTAAATTTAAATAAACTTAATAAAATGTATTAAATAAACTTAGATAACTTCTATATTATATATAGAGAAGTATTTTTAAGAAATCGCACATGAAACCAAATACTGTCATAACTCAAAAGTAACGGAATTGAAAAAATACGAAATGAAAGTTCAAAAAATTGTTCAATGGAACCAATAACTTTATATTCTCGTTTATAAGTGGATAACTAATAATTACGTAAAAAATAATCCCCTTATTGGCAATAAGATTCATTCAGTTTCTCTTAATTTTCTATTCGTGTTTCTCAATTCTGTTATTTTTGAGTTACGACAGTATGTGGTTTAATGAGCGAAATATATCCCGAGAACCGTAACTGGTGTGACGTTTTCCATAGAATGTCCGGCAGATAAATTACATTTGGATTATATAATTGGCTATGCCTAGGAGTGGGACAATGAGATTTATTCATAAATTTCCTAAAATACCTTTCATCGGTTACCGCAAATATTCTCCCTCTTCTTATTTGTTTTTCACATCTAGTCAATTTTCTTTTGTTATCGCATTCAAAATTATGTCGTTTTTTGTTACATTCCGAAATTATAGGTCGATTTTTATCTAATTCTGGCATACAATAATTCACACTTTTCTTTGTTTTAACTTCATAAATTTCGCCATCGTCATCGCATAGTACATATTTAATTTTTTTAACCTTTTTAATATTTTCTCCCCGTTTAGGTTCGTATATTTCATAATCACCGTTAATACCACAGGATTCTGACAAGAGTTTCTCTTCATATTTTGGTTTTGATTTTGCAACTTTTGTTTCATTAATACATTTTTTCTTTATGGGTTCGTAGTTCTGGATATTACAATCAGAGCACAATTCCGTTCTTTTTTTATGTTTTGGTTTTTTTAAAAAATTCTCTTTCATTTGTTTCACATAACGTTTTTTCTTTTCTTTCTGAGGTTTACATGGTATTTCGTCTATTAATCTTAATTCGGCTTTTTCTAATTCTTTGTGTTGGAGTTGCTGCCGCATCTCCTCTTCTGTTTTTCGCCACGCCCGTTTCTTTTCTGCTTTAATTTGCCTGTTAATAACAAATTTTTTCAATGGATTTGAGTATTGTCTGTGTGGACACCTACCTAAGCTCTGTCCGAAATCGGTTTCATGATTTATTTCCTCACCCAATTCGGCCTTAATTGATTTTATGTCTTGTAGATGCTGACACGCCTCCTTTACTCCAGTCAACATTCTTGTGTTATCGCATTCATAGTCAAGTAGTTTTTTGGTGCAGTTTAAAGATCTACACTTATTAATATTACATTTGAAAATTGTAGGTCGAGTTTTGTTTAATTTTGGCTTACAATAATTCACTATTTTCTTTGTTTTGGCGTCATACATTTCATCGTCGTCATCGAATAGTAGACTTGTTTGCTGGGTTAATGGCTTCTTTTTTTGTTTCAGTTTTGTTTTTTTAATATTTTTTACCCTTTTAGGTTCGTATATTTCATAATCACGCTTAGTACCATAGCATTCTGCTAAGGGTTTCTCTTTATATTCAGGTTTTGATTTTTCAACTTCTAATTCCGTAATATATTCTTTCTTTATGGGTATGTAGTTCTCGAATTCTATATCAGAATCAGAGCTTAATTCCGTTATTTTTTTATGTCTTGGCTTTTTAAAAAAAATATCTTTTTTTTGTTTCACATAACGTTTTTTCTTTTCTTCCTGAGGTTTACATGGTATGTCGTATCTTAATCTTAATTCGGCTTTTTCTAATTCGTTGTCTTGGAGTTGTTGTCGTATTTCGGCTTTTCTTTTGCACCGCGCCCGTTTCTTTTCTGCTTTAATTTG